CCCGGACGACGCCTCCTGCAGGGCCTCGACTCTGTTCATCTACCAGATTTAATGTCCCAACTCAATATTTAAAGAAGTCACTGATTTGGTTCATTTTTATTCGTTTGATGCGAATAAATTAGGATGGTAAAAAACATTATATGTGCGACACAAAACAATGAGGCGGTGCTGTTTGCAGGTTAGCCGACCCACGCTAACTTAGCACGCGTCGACTGAGTACAGCTCTCCAGCTTCACTCCAGGAACTCGCTAAAAAACTAAATAACCAGTTAAGCTTTTTACCTTGATTCATTAGGATCACGTCCGGTCAGTTTACGAATATTATCGTCCACATGCTTCAAACTTTCCTTGGCTTTTTCTAGCTGGTCTTGCAAGCTCCGCACTGCCACCGCCATCTTGCTTCCAGTTAGCGCGAATCACGTCTTCGTCCTCTTCTTCTACTTCTACACTTCTTTTTCATCCTGTCTCTTCATCAACGCATCACTGCCACCCTCTGGTCGGGGATGGATAATGCTTACTAACGTGTATGTATTGGTTCTAAAATCGGGGGTGAATGGCGTGTTTGCGTGTATCTGAAATAAAGTTAATTTCCCAGCCTTAGAAGGATCTTTAAAATTGATTAAACTAAATTCAGCTCGGCCTTCAACTGAAGGCAAGAAGCAGCGGGTTATTCACCACTGCAGGGCTGACAGGGCTGGACTGGTCATCGGGCATACGGGCATTTGCCCGGTGGGCCGCTCGTGATTTTTCGTTTTTATGGGCCGATGGGGTTTTATTTATTTATTTATTTTTTTAACGATATAAATGAATGGTGGTGGATTGGCCAGTTGGTCATGATCGAATCTGGGCTTGACCAGTTACCGCAGAGGAGGTCGAAATTTAAAGTTGAGGTGAAAGGGAACGTGATTTCATCACTACTTCAGCTAGAAAATTGCTAATTCAATCATGAAACTGATCAATGATCAGCTGATCGGCTTTTCTCTCCAGAAAGAGAGAACCAGCAGATGTCGCGCTAAACAACGGCAGCACGTTTGAGCTTGATCAGCTGTCGGTAGAATTTTTTTAATGTTAATTTCAAGTATCAGCTGATGTTTGCTGGAGCCACAGCTGGTCAAGA